GCGGAGGTGGGGGTTTGAGAGAGGAGAGAGAGAGTAAGACAAAAAGACAGAAACAGTAACAGTGGTGGTAGTAGTGAATCGGGAAAGGCCATTTTCCATAAATGCGAACAATTAATTTCGATAGATTATTTTTCATTTCCCGAGAAGTTAATTAAACTTTAAATACGAATGATTAATTACAAAAACTAGTATAGCTAATGCAAAGATTTATTTTTAATTAATTAATTTAGGGTGTTAATTAGCTTGGATTTAGATCTGGAACATGCACGAAACCATAGAAAGACAAGACGCTGGGGAAGAGAGAGAGAGAGAGAATCGTGCAGAGAATATTGTCAGAACCAACACTAACACCACTCCATTGCTCAAGCAAAAAGCCGCGAAAAAAAGACCTTTGATTTGTACTAGTTCTTTTTAAAATTACTGGATTGCCCTTGGAGTTTTACAAAGTGACATTCATATCCAGTTCCTGTTGGGCTTTTTTAGTGGTTGGGCTTTCATTTCTAGAATGGTGGGGATGGGTTAGCTCTACACTTTCAGGTTCCTCTTTGTTTTTGGTATTGCACAGAAGGGTGTCCGAGCCAGGTGAGAGACGGGGGATTAAAATTATTTGAACTAATTTATGTATATCTTAATTAATTTTTTTCTCGATTTGATCAAAGACAAATCATTCACGCTAAAACTAAAAAATTCATAAAAACNTTAGTTTTTGGTATTGCACAGAAGGGTGTCCGAGCCAGGTGAGAGACGGGGGATTAAAATTATTTGAACTAATTTATGTATATCTTAATTAATTTTTTTCTCGATTTGATCAAACACAAATCATTCACGCTGAAACTAAAAAATTCATAAAAATAAATCACTCATAATTTGACTTTAAAAGATTGGTCAAATTTTGACATCTTAATTTACANGAAACTAAAAAATTCATAAAAACAAATCACTCATAATTTGACTTTAAAAGATTGGTCAAATTTTGACATCTTAATTTACAGTTCATTTTTATATCTTCACTAATAAAATCACGTTCTAAATGCGCATGGATTGCCCAAATGGAGTAAGGTGAGCTCAAGAGCAACATGTAATTTCGAATATTTTGCATTTAACACTAGTTGCGACTCTTGAAATCTAATCGATATTTGTAATTTATTCTAAAGAAATGAATCCAAAATTTTCTCATTCTAAAAAAAAAATAACACTTTGAGCGATTACCCAATTCAAACGATATGTTGCTGTTGTNTTTATTCTAAAGAAATGAATCCAAAATTTTCTCATTCTAAAAAAAAAATAACACTTTAAGCGATTACCCAATTCAAACGATAAGTTGCTGTTGGCAATTCAGAGAATATTGCAGTTCTGTTCCCAATCTATCATAGCCCAATTTGCATTTGCTCATTCATTGAGGACAACAGATTATTGAAATCTGCTTTTGAAGGATAATGTTTTCGGAGATTTGAAACACTTTGCTTGGCTGATTCCTTGTTTCTATTTAGCATTCTTGAATTCTACAAGACCTGAAACAGTAGAATATATTTACACACCAAAGAGATATTTCACGACAGATTCAAGTACGAGAATTAGTTTTTTCAAGACGGGTTAAGGTTGTCTACAACTAATTTCTTATACACCTCGGCATAGACAAGAAACTTATGTATTGACTGTATCAAACCTAGGAAAAAAATGGGCGTGTATATGACTTAAACCTTTCATTTTTTAAAACTAGACAAATTTGCGTGTATACAACTTCAAATAATTTTATCACAAACAAAGAACTAAGCTGTGGCCTGTTTGCGAAAGCATACAACTATCAATATACTATCGTACAGCTTTTATCACACCCCCAAGTTATACGAAATGGGAGATTGGCAGGGTCCAAGCTAGGAGTTCATGTAAATATATACAGTTGCAAGTAACATCACAAATGGCCACTTGAGAAGAGTTAGTAACCTAACCAAGTAGATGGTATCGGCAGAAATTGGTGCTTAGCACATGCCAATACGTCATAATAGTCCACATCATTGAAGCAGTCGCGGAAATCAGTGAAAAGCTTTTCAAATACCCTCCACTGGACTTTGTATGATCTCGAGTATGGATATGGTAGATAGACCTGGAAAATAGGGAAACAATTAAGCTAAATTGCAATTATGAGACATAAAGATGGAGAGAAAGTAGAAACGGTAATTAGACAAATAAAAAACGGTGTTAACTGCATATTCTTTTTAAAACAGGGAAAACAAGTAATGAAATTTACATGGGATTTTGTGTGTTACGAGTGATTTGGATCTGTGTGTTTCTAGATGGCATGGGAAACATTCACATTAAAATCCTACCAAGAAGGGGAGCTCAACTCTTTTCCTAACAAATTCTGACTACCAAGGCATAATCCTAACCGTGCATTTGTATGAGTAGCCTTTAACTTCACATTTTTCTCCCATGAACAAAATAGGTGAGTGCTTTAATAGCCAATATAAGGAAACTTCTTGTGCCTAGATGACGACCCAACGCTGATTATTCAAATTCAACGCATCATGAGCAGCAGATGTGATGGCCACCTCCAAAGTAACATAATTTGTACCACATTCACTATTTATTGCCCAATAAAATCAAACGATCTAAAAATAGTTTCACCAGTTATAATAAGTGGATAACAGAAAGATAGTGTTTCAGAAATCTTGCTTACATTGCCCTCTAATGCAAGACGTTTAAGCAAGAGAAATGTTTGATCATTTTCCTCCAAATTGTCAATAACAGCCAGCCAGATTTCTGAAGCAAATTCATGAGCATTGTCTCTCGATTTGCCACAGGCAATAAATTGATCTGCTAGAAAATGAAGTCATCCCAGTTAAAATGTTATTCCAACATTCTGATCAAGATGGTGACCAAGAATAACCATCCATGGTTCAAACATTTCCATAATAATATAACACCTTGTTTCTTTGGATGTATTTTAGAAACATCTCCTTTATCTTCCTAGTTTTTAGAAAATCAGTCATCCCAAAGGTGTAAGCGTTAGGGAAACAGCGAAACAATGCTCATCTTAGAACTAAGACTTTTGCAGCAACAGTCATGGTAGAGGCATTGGTGGGGGTTCGGTGGCTGTGGCAATGGAAGTGGTGACAGCTATATGCCAAAAGCCGTAGTCAAGCCTGTCATGTAAGCAGTAAGAAAGGTAATCCCATCCATTGTAGCCATGGTGTTACAATAGTGAAATGGCAATGGAGGTGACATTGCAGCAAAGATGTTGAGGACACTGGGCTGGCAACAGTGGTAATGTAGATATGGTGGTAGTGGTTGCATTAATGATGGTGGCATTGGATACAGTAAGTTCAACAAATCACTTAAATTTGTAGAATAGCTTCTCTTCACAATCATTACTTGTGTAATTTAATTTAGTCCAGCAACAAAAAAATCTAGCATAATTGTTAAGAATATTAGGGTAGTATGTGTAAATTGTTAATAGTAAAAAGGTGTATGTGTAATTCTTATTATTGTGAGTTAATTATCAATAAAAGTGATGTATGAGAGCTAGGTTAAGCTTTTTAACCTTTTTTTGTTCCTCTCTAATATATTGTGTTAATCCTCTACACTTAACATGGTATTAGAGGATGAACAATCCTAAATATATTTTTTTTGAATAAATTAACTCTAGTTGTTGTGGTTGTGTCCTGTTGATCATCGTTTACCGTCGTTTGGTGTGTTTGTCATGGTGGTGTAGCTGTGTTGAAGCTACAGTGGTGGTAGTGATCTAGTTGTTGTGGTTGATCTGTGGTGGTGTTGTCGTGAGTGGTGGTGGTGGTGTGGTATTGTTGATTCCGTCGTCGTGGTGTAGCATCGTCGTGGTGATCTATCGTTCATTGTGGTGGTCGAGGCGCAGTCGAAGACTACCAAAAACTAGGGTTTACTGAAACCCTAATTGCGAAGAAGAAGAAGTCTAGACCCGAGGAAAGGTCCAAACCCGATATCACGGGTTTGGAAAAAAGACCCGAACTCATACCCGAGTCAACGGGTTTAAATTGTTTTAAACCCAAGTCTAGCCCACTTCGGTCCAAACCCAGAATTGTTTCAAATCCAACTCAACCCAAGCCCAGCTCACTTCGGTCCAAACCCAGAAATTATTTTAAACCCAACTCAAAAGTCTAGCCCAAACCCAGATATTGTTTTTAAACCCAAGTCAGACCGGTTCAATCATTTTTACTCTGGTTCAACGGTCCAACGAGTCTAGTCTGACTGGTTCAGTCTTCCAGCAGGCTTCTGTGGTCTGGTTTAGTGGTCCAGCCCTTGTTTCCAGCCCGGTTCAGTATTTCAGCAGGTCCAACTGATCCAGTTCAGTGGTCTAGTACTTATTTCCAGCCCGGTTCAATATTCCAGCAGGTCCAACTGGTCCGGTCCAGCCCTTATTTCCAGCCCGTATCTCCAGCCTGGTTCAGTATTTCAGCTGCTTCCTTTCCTCCGGTTCAGTCCTCCAGCAGCTTTCTTTCCTCTGGTTTAGCATTGCAACATTTCCTATTTGCTATTTGCTGCACTATTATGGAACACAAGCAAAATACCACATCCCTTACTCTATCTTTGCCTCCTCCTACACTTATCAATGGTCCCATGACCTCTATCAAGCTCAATGGGACTAATTACACTTTATGGTCCCGATCTGTTCAAGTCTTTCTTCGAGGCAAAGAATTTAAGAAATATTTGGTGGATCCTAAACCCAAGAAAGACACTCCTGGGTATGATCAATGGGAACAATAGGATGCTCAAATTATCTCTTTATTGTTGAATAGCATTGAGTCTAGTATTAGCTCTTCTCTGCTCTATCATGATACTACCAAAGGGATATAGGATCACTTGGCCACTATGTATTCTGGTACAGGTAATTTTACCCCTGCGTATAAGGTGTGCAAGGAGTACTTTCGGTTGGAGCAAGGTACTCTGAGTCGTGTGGATTATTACTCTTAAGTTCGGGGAATCTGTGAGGAGATGAAGACCTACCATCCGTTTACTACTAATGCAGCAGTTTGGCAGAAACAACATGAGGACCTGAATGTTATTAGGTTTTTGGTAGGATTGAAACCTGAATATGAGGCTATTCGTTCTCAGATTTTGGGTGGTTCTAGTCTTCCATTACTACTTGAGGTTTTCTCTCGTTTATAGCGTGCTACATTGTCTACTCCTTCAGGCATTAATCATAGTGTCTCTACTAATTGCTCAACTCTTGTGGTTCCTAGTACCAATAGTGATGGTCATCGAGGTGGACATGGTGGTCGAAGAGGTCANACTTGAGGTTTTCTCTCGTTTATAGCGTGCTACATTGTCTACTCCTTCAGGCATTAATCATAGTGTCTCTACTAATTGCTCAACTCTTGTGGTTCCTAGTAGCCATAGTGATGGTCATCGAGGTGGACATGGTGGTCGAAGAGGTCGTACAGGAGGTCATACGGATGGTCGTGGGGGCCGTAATGGATCCCGTTCCTGTACTCACTGTGGTTGTGGAGGATACACTGTTGACTTCTGTTGGGATTTACATGAAAAATCTTCTGGTGCTGCTAATCAGGCTTCTTATCAGGATGACACCTCGATTGTTGCTTCCATAACTAGGTCAGCTCCACCAGACACTGAGTCAGTTACTATTACACTGGGTCGAAAGGAGTATGCCTAGTTTCTGTCCTAGCAGCAGGCTGTTCCATCTCCCTCCACTGCTACTTTTGTCCAGTCAGGTACTACTTCTACTTGTTTATTGTCCTCCACCTGCAATCCCTGGATCATATACTCTGGCGCTTCTGACCACATGACTGGTGCTTCTGATATTTTTTCTACTTATTAATCTACTACTTCCACACGTAATGTTACTCTTGCTAATGGTACTTGTTCTAAAGTTTCAGGTTTGGAGACTACTCACTTTAGTCCTGATATGTCCCTATCATCCGTGTTATTTATTCCTCAGTTTCTTTTTAGTTTACCTTCCATTAGTAAAATTACCCGTTCTCTCAATTGTTCTGTAATCTTTTATCCCTCTTATTGTGTCTTTCAAGATCTCAAGACGAAAAGGAAAATTGGTACAGGACATGAAGCCAGTGGCCTATATTATTTTGATTTTGATTCACCTACTCGGGCTCTACAGACCTCGTTGTCTCATTTTCAATGACATTGTCGTCTTGGACATCCCTCTCTCTAGAATCTGAAGCGTCAAGTTACCAGTCTTAGTTATGTGTCATCTTTGTCTTGTGAACTTGTCAACTTAGTAAGCATCATCGTGTGTCATTTCAGTCTAGAGTCAATAATCGTATGTCTAGTCCATTTGAGCTGGTACATTCTAATGTATAGGGTCCAATAAAGAATATTCATTAAATAAATATTCTTATTTTGTGTCTTTTGTGGATGACTATTCTCGTGTGACTTGGTTGTTTTTTATGAAAGCTCGGTCTGAATTATTCTCTATATTTGAGACCTTTTGTAAGGAAATAAAAACTCAGTATGGTTGTCGTATACGTATTTTACGTTCTGATAATGTTCGAGAATATGAGTTTAATCATTTTTCAGTTTATATTAGTAAAACTAACATTATTCATCAAACTTCATGTGCTTACACATCTCCACAGAACGATGTTGTTGAACGTAAGAACCGTCATTTGTTGGAAGTCACCTGCGCCCTGTTATTTCAGATGAATATTCCCCGATATTTTTGAAGTGATGTTGTTCTCACTGCTTGTCACCTTATTAATCGTATGACATCCTCTGTATTAAATGGGCAAAATCCATATTCTGTCCTTTTTCCTGATAAGCCCTTATTTTCTCTTACTCCTAAAATTTTTTGATATGTTTGTTATGTTCACAATTTGGGTTCTGGGTTTGACAAACTTGACCATCGAGCTACCAAATGTGTATTTCTTGGTTATTCCCGCACACAAAAAGGGTATCGTTGCTACAGTCCTTCTCTGCGACGATATTTTACCAGTACCGATGTCACGTTCGAGGAATCTATTCCATATTTTTCAGCACCTTCTCAGCCTTTGGATCTGAACTTTGGGACATCTCTTGTACCACCATCTCTGTCCTCATCTTCAGATATTCTTTTGCCTACTGTGTTACCATCTACTTTACCTCTCCGTGTCTACTCTCGCCGTCCTTGCCCATTGACTGAGGTGCCCGTACCGTTTTCCTTGCCACCTTCTGATCTTGGTATATCAGGTAATTTAGACTCTTTACCTATTGTTCTTCGAAAAGGTACTCATTCGTGTTTTACTAATCATCCCATTGCTCAGTTTGTTTCATATAATGCCTTGTCTCCTGTCTTCTCTTGTTTTACTCCCCAATTATCTACTATATCTATTCGTAAGCATTTACAATATGCATTATCTGATCAGGATTAGAGAAAAACTATGGAGGACGAGATGGATGCCTTACATCATAATGGGACTTGGGATCTTGTTCCTTTACCTCCTAGTAAACGAATTGTTGATTGTCGTTGGGTGCATACTGTTAAATTTCATCCGAATGGTTCTGTGGAGCGTGTCTCAAAGGCGGACTTGTTGCAAAGGACTTTACTCAAACTTATGGTGTTGATTATAAGGAGACTTTCTTTCCTGTTGCCAAAATTTCCTCTATTCGTATCTTGATTTCTTTGACTGCTAATCTTGATTGTCCCTTATTTCAGTTAGACGTCAAGAATGCCTTCCTACATAGTGACTTGGTTGAAGAGGTATACATGGAGTAGCCACCTGAGTTTACTACTCAGAGGGAGTATGACAAGAGTGTATGTCGGTTAAAGAAATCTTTGTATGATTTGAAGCAGTCATCAAGGGCATGGTTTGGTAAGTTTTCAGATGCAATTTTAGAGTTTAGCCTTCTTCGATATTAGACAGATTATTTTGTGTTTCATAAACAGACAGATGCTGGATATGTTCTATTGGTGGTCTATGTAGATGATATTGTGATTACTGAAAATAATTCTGAAGGGATTGTCAAGTTAAAAATATTCTTACAGGATCGATTTCATAATAAGGATTTGGAAAAACTCAAGTATTTCTTGGGTATTGAGGTGGCTCGATCTAAACAGAGTATTTGTTTATCCCAGAGGAAACATGTACTTGACATGTTAGAGGAAGCAGGTTTGCTGGGTGGCAGACCTATTGATGTTCCTATGGATCCGAATCAAAAATTTTTGATGGATGATAGTGCACTGTTTAAGAATCCGGGTTGGTATCGCAGATTGGTTGAGAAGCTTAATTATCTCATTATTATTCGACCGGATATTTCTCATGCAGTCAGTATAGTAAGTCAGTTCATGGGATATCCTAGCATACCATATTGGGAGGTAGTTACTCGTATTCTGCGATATCTCAAACGTGCTCCTGGACTTAAACTGTTATATCGAGCTAATGGACATCTTAGAGTAGAAGGTTTCTCAGATGCTGATTGGGCTGACTCTCCTTTTGATCAGAGATCAATCACTGGTTATTGTACTTTCTCAGGAGGTAACGTTGTCTCATGAAAAAGTAATAAACAATCTGTGGTAGCAAGATCCAATGCTAAGACTGAGTATAGGGCAATGGCGCATACGACGAGTGAGTTGACTTGGATACTACACTTCCTCCAGGAAATTGGATTGCCAGTTTAACTTCCTTTACAGTTATTCTATGACAACCAGACAACTATCCATACCGTTGTCAATCCAGTGTTTCACGAGAGAACCAAACATATTGAAGTTGATTGTCACTTTATTCGGGACAAGATAGTAGCCGAGGAAATTACAACTCCATTTGTGAAATCTGAAGATCAGCTTGCAGATATATTTATCAAAGCATTGAGTCGCACACATCTTACAGCGATTTATTTCAAGTTTAGATTATATGATATATATAGTCCACCTTGAGGGGGAATGTTAAGAATATTAGGATAGTATGTGTAAATTATTAATAGTAAAAGGGTGTGTGAGTAAATTATTAATAGTAAGAGGGTGTATGTATAATTCTTTTTGACCTCTCTCTGTTCGTCTCTAATATATTGTGTTAATCCTCTACACTTAACAATAATCATAAACTATAGGGCATTTTTCTATATAGGTCCAATCATCCATAACTACTAAAAAGTCTGTCCTATGTACTACATTTCCTTTGATCCTGAAAGCATCTTTTCACGATGATTACTGGTGTCAAGGTCACTAATACAGTCCACCAAGTCAAAAATACGTATCACATTCAATAGCATACACCACCAGATCTCTATTTATATGTCTCTAATCAAATCATCATACTAATGCAAAAGAGAAGGGTTTGATCAACCCTTAATATAAAAATTCACGATACAAAAAAAATAAAATAACATAAGTCAAGACTGCACCGATTATGGTTCCATGAAGTATCCCAGATGGAGGCGGCATGGTCGAAATTTCAAGCTGCTCTTTCAGATACAAATATGTATGGCCTACTATCTCGTCCATTTCCCCATCCAGTGAAAAAATATGTTTACTGACATATAATGCAGCATACCTCCTGAAAAATATGGCGGTAACATCATAATATCAATCGTTTTAAGCAAAATCAATTCAATATTTAAATCCAGAAGAAAGATTGACTTAATATGTGAGAGAGAAATTGGATTTCTTATGTAGCTGGGCGGTACTAACACATCAAACAGTGCTACGTAAGAAAAGAAACATTATAAAACAGCATCATATTGCTCATTTCATGAATATGATGGTTTTGAACCATCATATCACAGGCATGAGTTTCTTAATGCATCCATTTGCTGAAGGTCATAACTTACTCTTGCAACAACTGTATAAATTGAAATCAATTTCGAAGCAAACATTCAATCAGTTGCCTGCCTCATAAACAAGCTAATACTAGTCAATGTAATAGAAGTAGAATTCGAACACAATGCTCTAAATAAGTCATGATGACATGATTTTCAAGCAATCCTCACAAAACAAGTGTTGTCGCAATAGGTTTTTTGCCACTGGAAGGCAATCTTGCATCTGATATTCTTTCTCCGAGAAAATAGTTGCATAAGAAAAGGAAGACAAATAATTTTGACAACATGATAACAAAGTAATTGATGCAAAATGCAAATTCAAAGATGTGAAAGATAATGGAATTGACTTCCCATCAAGACAGAGATCCATATGGAACCTTGCATTCTTATTTTAAGTCAATTTGCTAGTATTAGTATTTTATATGTCCTTTTAATATTTTTTAGTGTCAGGGATTTTTTTATAATTTTGGGTTAAATTCTAGTGTTGAATATTCTAAAATTTAAAGTCCTAATATTAGTTTATTTTAGTTTTCTAATTTGTAGAGACCTGGTGTCTTTGGAGTCCTAGAGACTTGGAATCCTAAACTTTTGGGATTAAGAGTACTTGGAACTCTATATATAGTGAGTGTAACTTTTAATAAAAGATAGAGAGATATTTAGAATTTTCAGCAATTATTTGTTTCTTGAGTTGTGTGATGCAATTCTAACCCTAGGTGTAATGCCTACAGAACCTAGGAGTGATTCCTAACCAAAAATACTGTTCCCGCTATTGTTCCTAGTCATTACTGTTCCCGAATACTGTTCACAGTCCCAGCCCCTATTTTTATTTTATTTTATAAAGTTGTCCTATTTCAATAATTTTCCTGGACCTCTTCGCTGACAATAAGAAAATCATGGAAATAATTGTTGCAACTCTTTGACATTATAAGGATCACAGTAAAATTTCAATCTTGTTAAATTCTCCTTGGCAACCTGACACAATACAGATAGTGAGAGGGAGCACTCAACTGAAATCTACCTTTTGCTCATTCCTCGAGGAATAGGTCCAGGCCACCTTTTGGCTTGCCCAGCCGAAGGAAAACTCCTGACAAGGGCAGCATGCCAGAAGAATTCTTCCCGAAACAGTGTAGCCCATTGTTTCTTAACACAAGATATTTGAACCCAGTCTAAGATGGGAACCCGGAAAAATATTTCTACTAGTAGATGATCTGGAAGCTTTCCAAAAGGACAATCAGCAGAAAATAATGTGGTGCTTCTGCTATCATTTCTCATTAGGCTGCAGAGCTACACAGTACATATCAGCAAGAAGAATGGGAATAGTGGCAAATTCAAGAATCGGTGAAGGATGCAGAATTTGAATAACAGAAGGCCAAATCACCACTACAAAATCAAAACTGTTCAAGAAGGGTGAACAATAACACAATATGCCAATGGCTCTTTAGAACGGATTGAAAAGGAGGGAACAATAAGAAAGAGCAAGATATTGAGTTTTAGCATTCCTTGACATTATGTTTAACTGCATATAACTCTGCAATATTACCAAAACCTCTGTTGTTGCTTTGAATATAAATAATTCTACCACTCAAAAGAACTTTACAAGAGAACGGTCACAGTGATTCAAAGTCATCGATAATGTTTCCAGGAATCAAACACACTACTTATAGTCAGAACAGGAACAGAGAACAATTACAACAATTTTTATCAAATGTAGAGAGGCATTTTATTACTTCCTCTGGTTAAACCTATTAATGAAGTCTCATCCTGGTCACTTGCAAAGTCAGAAAAGAAAATACCAGTTCAATTGACTGATAAAACTACATAACTATGTGATACTATTTAACTACAAAATTCATGAGTGACAATTCAAAAAGAACATGCAGTCTTAATACCGACCAAAAATGGACCAATCATTGACAATGACAACAAATGCAGCACAATAATACATTTCATCATGTCTACAAAGATTCATTTGAATGCTACCATTTGGGTGACTATGTTGGGTGGTGCCAAAATCCATGTCTACAATGATTAATATAAATGCTACGGGTTTGGGTAGAAATAGAAAGATAAAGACTCTTTGGCGATGTTATTTTTTGGCTACCATTTGAGTGATTTGGTTGGAAAGGAAAGCGAGAATCTTTTATGATAAAAGTGACGAGGAAGAAGACTTATGGGATTGAATATTCTTTTTAGCTTCTTTTTGGGCATCAGTGTCAAGGAATTTGCTTATATCCCTCTTTTCTGTATTCCTGCTAATTGGGAAGCCACATGTGGTATGTAGCATGTTTATTTTGCATTTTTTTCCTTTTGTGATGTTTGACTTCAGCTATCTTTGGGCTGGATGTCTTATCGACCTTACATAGGATTTATAATTTTAATATACTAATTGCATTTACTGGTTTCTATCAAAAAAACAATGCATTACATCAAAAGTTTGCACATACAATGGTCTAGACTATGTAGGGAAAAGGAAAAAGCTTCACCCTGATAGAAATAGGAACCATACAATGGCCACTTTAGCCTTACTTGTTATAGTTTTCCTAATACCTTAGTTCTTCCCATGCCTTCAGAATGTTCAATCATTTGGAAGTATCAAAAATCAACACAATTGCTAATTAAAACACTAACATCAATATTACTTTTTTGTTATAGCACTAACTACAATATCACTTGTTGTTAAAGTATTGCACAATTCCATTTCAATTCAAGTGATTATTAGATACAATTACCTCAACAAAAGTGGTTATTCCACAAACCTATGTAAATTTAGGAACATATTGATAAGATTAAAGAGAACTTAGTCTTCAAACATTGGTTTCAACTATTATCGAGTAAATCAAATACTATACTACAACATGAAAACACTACTAGTTCATCTGATTCCGAACAAGAACATAACACCACTGAAAAAAAATCGAAACAAGTGCAGATTAAAAATACAAGTTTTCCAGCAAAAACACATGAAACAAAGAAGAATTTCACTCAAGGTTGGAATTGATCAAACGTGAAATTTTAACAAAATTAAGTGATGCAGAGAATGTTGGGAAGTGAATAGCGTACCGAGAGAAAGAGGAAAGGCGTTTCTTAGTAAGAGTGAGTGAGAGAGAGAGAGAGAGAGAGAGAGAGAGAGAGAGAGACGGCAACTGAAAGAGTTACCAAATTGACAATACATACAACCAGCAGCACCGCATTGCAGAGCTTTGGTGGTAAGCTGCCGCCTTCACCACCACGCAAAACTAAAAGGAATCCTGAGATTGCCTTGTGTGTATTACCTGACATCAACATTTCAGTCCTTATTATGGATTAGCAGCTGACACGTTGCATGGGTTCCAATCATAGAGTTATGCATGATGACAAGTGGGACCATAATTCTTAAAACTAAAACCTATAAGTCTAATAACCTAATTTATTGGAATCAATGAACTAATAATAAGTCTCAATATTAGATACGGTCCATCAATAACGTATTATTATATATATATTTATTTTTATAAATATTTTAATTTTGACATATAAAATCTTTTTTATTAAATTAATCAAAATATACGTAAATTAGTTAAAAAACACACTTCCCGTTAAACCAACATCCAAAACTATTTGGGACCACATGTTTGGTGACTTTGATTTGATTTGATTGTGTGCGGTCTTAAAAGTTTGCGTTTGGGATCTGAAATGCTGCAAGTTGTAAATGGCTACTAAATACGTGGGACCACCCAATACCATATACTACCAATATAAGATTTAAAAAAAATTAATTTGATAATAACATTAATATGCAGATTTTTATTTAAAATAATCGACAAACTCGAGTTGTGGATAACCGTGATCTCCATTACATTCCCCTTGATATTCGTTCTATTTTTATAGACCGAATGGGACTAAATAAACTTTCTACGGTTGTACTTGCAACTAACAAGTCAAAACGATTCGTATAAGTCTAACTTTATACTGCTGGCTACTCATACGGGTTAATGGTGTGGATTCGAAATGTATCAAAACACCAAATGCGGATTCTCCAGACCTCGGTTTCATTGGACCCGATCGAAAGAATTGTGCTTTGCAGCCCAGATTAGGCTGTCTTGCCTTGCACAGTTGCATAACGCAGGCTTCGATGAGAGGCCAACGACTCGGGTTGAGTCAGTCTAGTCCATCAATAACTGAGCTTGGCCCAAATCAAGTCTAAAAACGTTTGCCCGACCCATTAATCACGGTCAGATTCAAATTGTGTGCAATTGTTAGTTTTTTTATTATAAAATTAGCAATAACTAGGTGCCTACAGAAGTTTGTAATACAAAAAATTGAGTATTTATTGTGCAATATTAATATTTTAACTAATAAAACATTTTTATTTTTTAATTAATTACATAATTTAAAATTAAAGTGAACATATAGAAAATAAGAGAGATCAGAGAGAGAGAGAGAGAAAAGAGTAAGTGTAAATTATAATGGTTGTTTTACGGTGAGAGTCGTATTGTAAAATATATTTTTACTCTTTAAAGAATGCATAAAGTGTCTATTTAGTCCCAAATATTTCAATTATGTCTATTTAGTGTATAAGGTTCATACATTTGTATTTATGTGGTCCAATTTCGAAACGTTTGTTAAAAATTGTTAGATCTCTGGTCACACGCCAATTAGATTACACTAAATAGACACAATTAAAAACTTTAAGGATCAAATACATAAAAATTATAAACTTTAGGGATCAAATAAATAAAAAATTAAGAA